CAACAAGCTGGGGGATCCAACAAGCTGGGGGATCCAACAAGCTGGGGGAGCCAACAAGCTGGGGGATCCAACAAGCTGGGGGATCCAACAAGCTGGGGGATCCAACAAGCTGGGGGATCCAACAAGCTGGGGGATCCAACAAGCTGGGGGATCCAGCAAGCTGGGAGATCCAACAAGTTGGGGGATCCAAGAAGCTGGAGGATCCAACAAGCTGGAGGATCCAACAAGCTGGGGGATCCAACATGCTGGTGGATCCAACATGCTGGGAGATCCAACAAGCTGGGGGATCCAACAAGCTTGGGGATCCAACAAGCTGGAGGATCCAACAAGCTGGAGGATCCAACAAGCTGGAGGATCCAACAAGCTGGAGGATCCAACAAGCTGGGGGATCCAACATGCTGGTGGATCCAACATGCTGGGAGATCCAACAAGCTGGGGGATCCAACAAGCTGGAGGATCCAACAAGCTGGGGGATCCAACAAGCTGGGGGATCCAACAAGCTGGGGGAGCCAACAAGCTGGGGGATCCAACAAGCTGGGGGATCCAACAAGCTGGGGGATCCAACAAGCTGGGGGATCCAACAAGCTGGGGGATCCAACAAGCTGGGGGATCCAGCAAGCTTGGTGATCCAACAACCCAATCTTAGCTAACATGACAAGGTACAATACCGTGACTGGAACGATCCACAACATACCTAACATAACTAAACATAATATAACTGCTCGTAACATAACTATCTACCACAAATTTACCTAAACTTTTCCTAGCTTAACTTTACCTTACCTAATTTTCCTAACTCAGATTTATCTGAACTAATTTATCTAACCTTTCTTAACCTGACCTAATTTTCCTAATTTTAATACCTTACCTATTATTCCCAATTTCCCTACTTTAAACTAGTTAACCTAATTACAGTAAGCTAAACTATGTTTACCTAACGTAAAGTAACTTAACCTAACCTAAACTAACCTACTGTAAACTAATGTAACTAACGTAACCTAAACTTTCCTAACTAAGCCTAATTTAGATGAACCTTCCTAATGGCAACAAGTATAAGGAAGAAACACATTGCAGAACAAGTTTCTATTGTGACAACGTTTCGCTCCGAGCAAAGATTTATGTAGTGAGCTCATAACAAAGAGTCACAATACCGTGACTAGAACAGTACACAAATAAAAAGCACATAGAAAAGCTTAGGATGACGTTTCGGTCCAACTTCTACCATTTACAGTCACCCTAACACAAGAGAGTTTGATTCGTCAGGAACTGCATTCTGACACTGGTCTGAGGATCTCGAAGGAGATGTCAATATAATTCAGTTATTCTGTGGCCGCGATCAGGATCTTCGTGTAGTCCGGGTTCGCTCCACGACAAAATATTTTGTGTACAACAACGGGCCGAGGCCATCAAGTCTCCCAGTATTATCTGTGGGCCCTGTGCTGGGTGGTCGGTTAAATGAGCAAATAAAGGCATGGACTCTGTCTTGCCTATCATGCATGTACTCAAGAAGGTCTTCGCAATAGTTCTGAGTGTTTTCTTTTTAAGTCTATTACTTCTCATATGATATCGGTGAAGCACGTGACAGTCGACATCATTTGATGGCTCAGGGGTAATACGGGTTGTTGGGCTACAGTGCTCCTCACTGGTTGACTGTTGTGATGGTAGGGTTGACGAGTTGGCTATAGCCTGTTCTTGCAGAAATTTGGACTGCTGGCTGCCGTTGTCGGGTGGGAGTTGGAGCAGGAGACACGGAAGTCGGCTGAGTACGTGCACAATCCCGTCACTGATGTTTCCTCTGTTTCCTTCGTTGCTGCTGCTGGGAAGTTGCACTGGATTCTGCGTTACTGTAGCCTCCTCTGGACGAGGCTGCTGCTTAGTAGTGAGCAGTAGTGAGCCTCCCCGGGTAGTGAAGGTTCCAGGCATGATGCTTCTTGCCGCAATTCACTGAGATTCTGTAGCTTCTTTTTAGTGTATCCAAATAGTCCTTGGTCTGGTGAGACCCGCTGCAGATGCCGCAGATGACAACGGCTGCTGACGCGGTTGTATTTCTGGCACCTGAAGCACGTCCGAACTTGGTATGTTTTCCCAGTAACCGAGATCCAGTTGAGCTGGAAGAGTGTCCCTATAGTGAACCTGCCTCGTAGGTACATTGCCGTCCTTCTTGGCTCGGAGTTACATAGCTTTCAGGATGTTTTCGTCACTGGATTACATTATGAGGCATATCTAGCGGATAATGTATTAATACGGCTTTGTCATCCGCTCTACGGATTTTAGCTCTGTAAGGACGATTGGTGACTTGATGTTCACCTTCTGCAGTACCTCATAGGACGCTCTTTCCAGGAGTGAGAATAAACTCTCAGATCTGGGGACACTGGTATCTTCAGGCCGTATTTTCTCTCCAAATGAATTATAGCGGCATATAGGGTGCTATGGTGTTTTTTGCTGACGAGTCTGAATTTCTTGCCTACAGATTTCTATGGTTTTGATGGACATTTCTTAATACATATCTCACTGGCTAGGCTGATTTAACTTGCTTCTCTGTCCCATGAGTCCAATGAGTAATCTCACAGCTTCGCCAGAAATGCGCCCCACGTTTCTGAGTCTATGGTTGTGTCCTTGGAACATTGTGACCTCTTCCTTTCGGAAGAAGCTACATGTTTCTGTGAGCCTGTCTCGTGGCTCTCTCTGGATGTCCTTAGTGGATGTTGTGTGTGTGTTGTTATCGACGAGAGATTGTTGTTGTTAAGGATTCGCCGGTATTCTCGCGGCCCGGGCCCTTCCAAGTGGTGGCCCGGCACTGGCTCTCTGTCTAGGGAGTGTCTGAGACCTAAGTCTCCCATGGGAGGAGGCACAAGTACCCCCTCATCTTGTGAGCTACAAACTCGGGCTCTGGCACCAACCCTGCCCTAGAAGGGCAAGGCATGGTGTCGATCGTGCTAGCGCTGTGCTCTCCTGTGTGGAGTGTCATGTGTTGGTGTATCGACGAGAGAGTGAGGTGGCCATTATATATAGGCGAAGGAGAAAGGGACGGGACCAAGAGAGGAAGAAAAAGAAGTGGTAATGCTGGTACTGGAAGTAGTAGTAGTAGTAGCAGTAGTAGTAGTAGTAGTAGTGATAGTAGAAAGTAGGGAGAGAACTTCAGTTGATCACTGTGTGAAACATAGCGATTTTTCCCAAATAAAAGAATTTTCCACTTATACCTTCAACTTCACAGTTAGCTATTCTAATCAAACTCGATAGATTCTAATTATCGCAATACTAGCTACAAAAACCGATAGAGTTTTGTTACTTAATTTTGGTACATTTAAAAATAATTAATTTTTAATTAAAGGTAACACTTACCTGGAAATAAAAACCTCAACTGCAGCATCAGAGTAAAGGTTAAATTCTATAAATTTTATTTTGATTTAAAAGTTCGTGAAACCTGAGTTTCGAAATGTCAGATAAATATCAGAATATGAAAATACGAACGTGACTTTTATTTTCTTGTTAATTATTTGTTGCTTTACTCTGGAATCCCAACATTATTAAAATTATGATATAAATAATTTAGATAATTTGAAGAATGAGAGACTTATGCAACATTTGGAAATGTATATTGAGGAGAAGGTTTCTCTATAAATCTTCCCAAGGGCTTCAAAAGTGTCTTATTCATTATAAAAGTTTATATAATCTAGCAACATTTATACCACAGGTAATACATTATACTCAGTGAATTGTATTTCTCTAATGGTATATAGGCTGAGAATTTTGTGTATTTCCTATTTTAGGTCTAAATTATTCATGTCTGAGGATGAAAAGGCTCTGTATAGCCTTAATGATTTTAGACTAGTCGATAGGCTTGAAACCCCATTAACCAATTAGCTTAATGCAAAATGTAAACTTGTTACGTCTCTCATACTCTAACAGCCAATCAAATTTCTGGGAAGCGAGTCCCAAATTTCACAGTCCAGTTGGCCCCTCAAGGAAGGTTCCTTGATGTTGGTGAGGGGCTCTTGATTTAGGAAATTGGATCTGTGCTCCAGTTCCCCGAATTAAGCCTGAATGCCTTCCACATCCCTCCCCAGGCGCTGTATAATCCTCCGGGTTTAGCGCTTCCCCTTGATTATAATAATAATAATCACAGTCCAGTGCTTTAACCACTCGGCCAGCTGGCTCTAATAATAGTCTTAAGATTCCATTGTTGTGGGTTCGATCCTTCACCCGTTCTGTGAGTTTGTGTTGTCACGATTTTCTGAGTCGCTCAGTTCCAAAAACTAAGGCAAGTGTAACAGTGTAAAACAAACACAATGCAACACAAAAGCAATTCAACAGAAACACAACACGTCATACTCGTCAGGTTATAGAAATATAAGGGAACACACACGTGAGGCAACACAAACAGTGAAACACGAAATGCAGGAAAATACAATGCAACAGAAACAGAGTACAATAAAAGTACGATGCAACAGAAACAGAGTACAATAAAAGTACGATGCAACAGAAACAGAGTACAATAAAAGTACGATGCAACAGAAACAGAGTACAATAAAAGTACGATGCAACAGAAACAGAGTACAATAAAAGTACGATGCAACAGAAACAGAGTACAATAAAAGTACGATGCAACAGAAACAGAGTGCAATAAAAGTACGATGCAACAGAAACACAAACCCACAAACACTAAACATGAACACAATGCGTCATAAACAAAAGTTAAAAAAGAAAATTAACACAGAAACAAAATGTCATAGAAACAGACAAAATGTCATAGAAACAGACAAAATGCCATAGAAACAGACAAAATGCCATAGAAACAGACAAAATGCCATAGAAACAGACAAAATGCCATAGAAACAGACAAAATGCCATAGAAACAGACAAAATGCAATACAAGCGAAATTCCACACACAAATAACAAACACTAGCAACCATAAAATAGCAAACGCAAACACACAGAAAAATGTTAATGCAATCTTATGCAAATTAATTACTAACAAACATTTTTCTTTTCTTTCCAGATAATTGTGGCTTCCGCTTATTTGAAACCAAGTCACGTTCATCGAGGCTATTTTGGTCCAACCTCAGACCACCTACTGTATCACGTCCCTTCCGACCTGAAAATCCTGAGCTCTCATTGTACCATTTCACTGCCTACATGACCTGAAAACAATTAGTACATCAGGTCACTACTCACTCAGGATTGAGTTGATTTATCAGCCTTTGCCTCTGCCTATTTGGAAACACAATTGTGTTAAATTAGGCTAGAAATAAGTTCATTGCCGTCTTTATAATATATATTTCTACAGGTGGATAATATGACCCTAAATGGGGCACTGATGGTCAAATCTCGGACGTAAGGTTGGAGTCATGTAAGCTGATTTACAGCAATGGCGTGCCCGTTCAGCGGCGCCCGCGTGCCTGGCATGGGTGAGGGCGTGGAAGACGGAAGAAGTGGGCGTCTAAGTGCTTCCGAAAGGCGTGGATGGGACCGCGGTGCTTCGACTGAGGTTAGCAGCAGATGTGGGAGTCCTGTGAAGGAGCTTGGCTCAGTGCAGGAGAGGGTCAGCTCCTACACGCGTATGACACGCTCTCCCTCAGCTCCTGTGGTGGTGGGTCGTAAGATTTCCGGAGGCTGGTCAAGGAGACGGGAGGGAGGAGTAAGATCACGGCCCCAAGATGACGACGACTCTACACCTCTGCTGACTCCAGCACGCGACCCACCCGACCCCAACCTGCCACTAAGTCTTCAGAACTTAACAGAAGCAGTGTGGAGCTTTATAACCATTCCAGTGAGTATTTTGATTCTTTGTTAATACATTCCACTTAAAGTATTAATGGACATTTCGGACAATACCAAGTCACATATGTATTTGACATATGTGAAGTGTCATCTTCAATTTTCTCTAAGTACAGCTATTTGTGATTTCTTGAAGACTTTAATTCTTGAGTGTAACTAGTATACTACTCTCTTCTTCACCCATACATCTTAGTATACTATTATGCAGTAGTTGTGACTAGTATAGCACCCTCCTATAGCCATTCTTGCCAGTATACTGTAAATACAATTGTTGTAACGAGTATACCTTCCAGCACCCAGCCCCTTAGGTATAGCGTTAATGCAGGTTCCATAGAGAGTATAATGTTAAATATACTTTAGAGAGTATGCTAAACCCGTCGGTGTGAGCATATTGTTCCCTACATACAGCTACATGAATATACTGTTCCCACCATACAACCCTTTGAGTATATGTTTCCAACATACAACCCTCTGTGATATACATGTTATACAAGATATATCACAGACACGCATGTGAGTATACTTTCCCTACACAAAACACAGCGAATTTAGTACAATGGGGAAACTAACACAAATATGGCCCGGTGGTCTGGTGGCTAAAGCTCCCGCTTCACACACGGAGGGCCCGGGTTCGATTCCCGGCGGGTGGAAATTCCGACACGTTTCCTTACACCTATTGTCCTGTTCACCTAGCAGCAAATAGGTACCTGGGTGTTAGTCGACTGGTGTGGGTCGCATCCTGGGGGACAAGATTAAGGACCACAATGGAAATAAGTTAGACAGTCCTCGATGACGCACTGACTTTCTTGGGTTATCCTGGGTGGCTAACCCTCCGGGGTTAAAAATCCGAACGAAATCTTATCTTATCTTATCTTATAAAACCTGTCATTGTCGAAAAAAGTCTCCTACGCTAAAACAAAGTTTATTAACTACACTGTACAAAAAAAGGCTGAACCTACTTCGTTCTCAAAATATTAGGCCTACCATAGTCAGAATTTTGGAGCTAAATAGACTGGTCAAAAATATTGATCCTAAGAAACTGCCAAAAGTTTTGAGACTCAAAAATAGTGAGTCTACAAAATTTAAAAAAAAAAATTATTGCTATACTCTGTCAAACATTTTAAGCTTACAACACTGCCGAAAAATAGGCCTACTACACTTTTGTTAAAAATATATTGTGCCTACTACACTCTAACAAAAGTAATCACACTACGTATATACTCTAATAACAACATTAGCTCTGTAAAGTAAAAGGACACAAGTGCAACTAATGTGACATTTATTGTGGCAACGTTTCGCTCTCCAGGAGCTTGATAAAGCTCCTGGAGAACGAAACGTTGCCACAATAAATGTCACATTAGTTGCACTTGTGTCCTTTTACTTTACATATTGTCGGTAATTCTACCAACTTTATTACAACATTAGCTCTAACAACATCAGTGGATCTAATTATACTCTCTAACAACAGTAATAACACTAGTATCTAATACTAGTGGCACTAACCAGTCTCTATCACATTAGTAATGACACTGTATTATCTAACAACAGTAATGACACTGTATTATCTAACAACAGTAATGACACTGTATTATCTAACAACAGTAATGACGTTGTATTATCTATCAACAACAGCGTCACAATACTACTGATACTACCACTTAATTACAGTGAGATAAGCACATTTCCCAGAACGGGTGGGGTTCGAACCCATGGCAGGGGAGTCTTAAAACTCCTAGGCTCTCAGTTCCTCACGCAATATATTAGCAACATCAAGCGCAAGGAGTGATGGAGGCTCGATCCTCCGTCCTACAGTTTAAATATGACACAGGAGATAGCGGTCTTCCTGGTATTTGTTTGGTATTCTCTGGCAGATTCAGCGACAGGAATCCATTAATACTGAAGAACTGATTAAAATATACATGTTAATTTATTGAAACATTACTTTTGCGTATGTTATGTAAAGTATGGATATTGTAAGTGAGGAGGATGGACGTTGTAAGTATGGATATTGTAAGTGAGGAAGATGGACGTTGTAAGTATGGATATTGTAAGTGAGGAAGATGGATGTTTATGTATGGATATTGTAAGTGAGGAGGACGGACGTTGTAAGTATGGATATTGTAAGTGAGGAGGATGGACGTTGTAAGTATGGATATTGTAAGTGAGGAGGATGGACGTTTGTAAGTAAAGGATATTGTAAGTGAGGAGGATGGACGTTGTAAGTATGGATATTGTAAGTGAGGAGGATGGACGTTGTAAGTATGGATATTGTAAGTGAGGAGGATGGACGTTGTAAGTATGGATATTGTAAGTGAGGAGGCTGGACGTTGTAAGTATGGATATTGTAAGTGAGGAGGATGGACGTTGTAAGTATGGATATTGTAAGTGAGGAGGATGGACGTTGTAAGTATGGATATTGTAAGTGAGGAGGATGGACGTTGTAAGTATGGATATTGTAAGTGAGGAAGATGGATGATGTAAGTATGGATATTGTAAGTGAGGAGGATGGACGTTGTAAGTATGGATATTGTAAGTGAGGAAGATGGATGATGTAAGTATGGATATTGTAAGTGAGGAGGATGGACGTTGTAAGTATGGATATTGTAAGTGAGGAAGATGGATGATGTAAGTATGGATATTGTAAGTGAGGAGGATGGACGTTGTAAGTATGGATATTGTAAGTGAGGAAGATGGATGTTTATGTATGGATATTGTAAGGGAGGAAGATGGATGATGTAAGTGAGAAGCATGTATTACTAGTGAGGAACATGTATATGAATGAGAAACATGTTGGAAAAGTATGTATACGAGTAAGAAACTCGTATGAGTGAAAATTATGTATACAAGTGAGAAACATGTATTATATGAGTGGAAATTATGTATACAAGTGAGAAACATGTATGAGTGAAAATTATGTATACAAGTGAGAAACATGTATTATATGAGTGGAAATTATGTATACAAGTGAGAAACATGTATGAGTGAAAATTATGTATACAAGTGAGAAACATGTATTATGCGAGTTGAAATTATGTATACAAGTGAGAAACATGTATTATGCGAGTTGAAATTATGTATACAAGTGAGAAACGTGTATAAGAGTGAAGCAAAGAAAGATAGTGTTAGATTCACTGGAAGACAAACTGCGGTAGTAAACAGACTGTGTTAAAGACTTTAACAAGTGTGATGGTGGGGTAAAAGTACACAAAATGCCTGAAAAAGAAATAACTGGAAAAAATGGCAGATAGATTTTTAACCTCTTACTACTACTAATCATGGGAAGCGCTAAACCCGTAGGGATTATACAGTGCCTATGGTGGGATGGAAGGTATTCAGACTCAATTTGGGGAACTGGAACACAAATCAAGTTCCCCAGATCAAGAGCCCCTCACCAGCGTCAAGGAACCTTCCCTGAGGAGGTTTAACCTCCTAATAAATAAAATACAAAGAGTAATAAATAAAGTCAGATGCTGCCACAGTGAAGGTACTGCTTCCCAAGACATGGTACTGTCTGCCATACTTTTCCTCACTTAACCCTGTATCTGACACGGGTAGACAGACAAATCATAGTACGTATTATCCTTTGCAGATCATACTAGAATTTGCCTTTGAGTGATATACATCAGGGACAAAGTAAATCACCAAGTCGATATAAACATTCCAGTTGGCCGCTTGAAACCAAAGGATGCTTAATGTTGACAAATTTCAGCTACTCTGTTATGGAAAATTTGAGGATATGATCTCGGTCATTGTTCTTCTTTACGAAAAATCAATATTTGAAATTCAGTTGATATAAAAAACAATGAATAAAAAGGCAGTATTATTTGTTTTGAGTTGTTCATGGTTTGTAATGGTTGTGAGCGTGGTGCTCTGTGGTGTGGTGCTCTGTGGTGTGGGGCTCTGCCTGGAAGGCTTCACCCGGAGCTTGGCTAAGAGCCACCAAGAGCTCATGACGGCGGTCGAGCAGCATGCTGAGAGAGAACTATCGTGGCACCGGCGCTTCGTCTGGAGCTTGGTGATGGGTCCTCCCACGTACGTTCACTCCACGATGGTCCTCAGAGACGTGTACTTCAGCGGCCTTCCCTTTGTCGGAAGAGTGTTCCTCGTAGCCGGATACTTTGACCAGGTCTTCCAGCTGTTGGACTACGCCAGCTACAAAGGAGTGGAGGTACAGGACGTGGCTATTCCCTCACTCGTAGGTGCCTTCGGCATTGTCCTGGTGTCTGCAGCACTAGTCATCGCTGTTGCGTGTTGTTATAAGCTGTTAGTCTTCAGGTTGGTTGAGGAGGACCAGATCAGGGTAAATGAGAAGAGCCCTGTCACCTCGTATAGGGAGGAGACATCCTATTTGACTAATAAGGTCAAGGGATTCATGTGGGAGGGCCTCTGTGGGCTTATGGATTACCTTCCCCGCTTGTCTACGAAAGAACTAATCAATGACTTGATTGAAGAGTACCTCTTAAATTTGTTTGGGGAGGAGTACTCAGGGATGCTTATGGAGAACATTAGGGCTGAGCGTGCCGAAGTCCGGCTGCAGGACTTAGTGTCTCTCCAGCGAAATGAGAGAGGACACCCAGGCGGAGGAAATAAGATGATTTCTGACGATTTTCCGGACGAATCCCTGGACGAGGATCTAACGGAGGGATCGAGGACCCCTGATGATACTGATGCCTCACCCCCTAGAATGAAATCAAGCATTCAGTGCCATGCATTCAAAGAGAACTCGGTGCATAAGTTAGTAATGGAAGGCGTGTTAAAACATGCATGGCATAAGGAAAGCAAGACCTTCAAACTAGAGATCTTGCTTGGTAAAGAGCCATGCACAGACATCGAAGTGGATAAGCTAATGTATCGTGTAGTGCAGAGTCTGCACAACGTCGCGTACGTTCGCAGCGAGTGGGAAAATGATCGTATAAGAGAACGTCTCTTTGAGTGCTTCCAAGAGGAGCTCTGACCCTCCAGTGATGAACAGCTATCGAGTCATAAGTCGACGGATAGCCACGGAGTTAGGGGTTAAAATCTTAACCTAATTCCATCACTGGAGAGTCCTATCCAATCCCACTGGAGTCCCATCTAATCCTACACCATCAGTGCTGCCCAGTGACAGTGTGAGGTTTAGATCAGTGGTTATTTTAAATACATGTTTTTTAGTGATAGTACACTTATCATGTCTTACTCTGTGGCGGCTCTAGTCAATTCTCTATTAGAACCGCTTCCTAGTACTACTTCAGCTGAATAATAATAATCAAAATATACAAGTGCTTGAAACACACATACGAAATATAAAATATACAAACCCTTTAAGTGTAAGCAATACATTATTATACATCACAATAATATAAAATAAACAGAACTTAACTTGCGTAACTACTTAGCGAGATATCTGTACTTGGGACTGGCAGATACTTTTGATGTTACGTAGAATATTGGACAGATCTTCCCTTATTTCTTACTCGACAGATGGTAACCTCTGGTTAGTTTTCATGGTTTGTGAAGGCAGGAAATTCCAACTTTCACAGAAAAGATTTGGAAAATTGCATGAGAATTACCGGGATATCGAGGATATTCATTGTTAATCTCTCATCAGAATTCGTCCAAAGGCACTTCCTTATGTAATGTTGTAAATAAAAGTTATTTAGATACAGGTACACATAAGTACAAATATCAATTATAGTATAAAAGTTACCTAACATAACCCCAAAAAAGTCAGTGACTTATGTACACTGGATCCTTGTCCATCATAATACCCTCTGACTTAATCATTTATTTACTATCATCCTGGGTGTTTCACTCGTTGGAGGCCCCGAGTTGGTACTCACGTTTGTTTGTATATTATGTCTGTAGTAAATGGTAGATTGGGGCCTCCTACGAGTAAAACTGTGTACTATATTGTATATCGTTTATTGACATCTGTTCTAAAAGAAATGTATAACTCTTTTATAGTAGTTAATTATACAACATACACTAGTCGAGAAAATTGTGTTTTAAGACGAAGAAGCTAGGGTAAAATTAATTATAATTTTGCGGTACCCTGGTTGAAAAATACTGATGTAGGGAATAGAAGTGCTTTATTATTGAATATTCATGAATTTTTTCAGTACTTGACGAGTTTCTTCGATTTTTTTTGCTCCAGGTTCACACTGGTGCCATCGGAAGTGAAGTACAGGGAGAGAGTAATAAATACCGACAAGTTGGTTTAGAAAGACACGTAAGCAAACACTATAACATATTTATTAGAAAACGTTTCGGTCCTGGGACCTTGATCACTTCTAAGGTTAGAAGTGATCAAGGTCCCAGGACCGAAACGTTTTCTAATAAATATGTTATAGTGCTTGCTTACGTGTCTTTCTAAACCAAGGATGTTGATACAATTTTCTGGTATTGGGCATATGGCGCCCTTGCTTTCCACGAGGTTTATTTTACACTTCTCTTCTTTAGTTGTACCTCATTCCATTGTACCTCATTCCATTGTCCCCTATTCTATCTCTCACTCTTTCTCTATGCCTCACTAATTGATTTTCCCCTCGTCCCTCAGGCGGATCACCTGCTGCTGGCACTGGACGTGCTCCTGCGTACTGGTGACGTCGAGTGGAAAGCTCTTAGGTGAGAATTTCTTCTGCTGCTTCGTAACCCATGCAAGCACTCATTCATGAGGACTATCATTCATGAATACTCCCGAGCTTACAAACACACTCACTCATTACCGGTGACGCTGTCATACATGAAGGAGTACTTCCACTCTTACAAGCACACTAACAAATTCACGGTATCATACATGAACACTCCCGTGTTAACAAACACACTCTCGAGCACCCATTTGCAAAGACACAGGCACACCGAAAATATACATTTCCACGCACAGAAACTCGGACAAGCACTTGCTAGCAATGAAAGAGTTTCTCCGAGTGAAGGTTCTATGTCACACGCACTTTGTGAGAGAGTAGTGAAGGCAAACTCGGGAAGTTGGCTTAGACGTGTGTTTGGTAAAATCCAAGAGGTTAGGAAATCTGAACTTCAGTCCAAATAAACATTTACACACACACATTAGCTTTAAGAAGAGATACGATAAAGCTAATGGAGCAGGAAGAGTGTGGACCTTGTAGTGGCCAGTGAAGAGGCGGGGCCAGGAGCTGTGACTCATCCCCTGCAACCACACGCAGGTGAGTACAAATAGATGTGTACACACTTCTGGTATCTAAGACTAGGTGTCAGAAACCTAAACAAAGTCATTCACCACACTGTAGGCGGCCTAGGTCAGGCCCATAATAGAATATTCAGCACCAAAATAGAACCACCACCTTGTTAGACATGTCAAAGAATTGGAGAAGGTGAAGAGGTTTGCAACATAAATTGTCCCTAAAAGAGATTAAAGGGAACTAAACCTGGTGAAATTACGGTAGAGGATAGAGGGACTAGAGGTGATACAATAACAACGTACTAAATACTTAGAGGACTTCCTAGGGTGGACGGGGACAGATTGTTGTAGAGGCAGGAAACAAGAACACGGAGCCATAGCTGGAATCCGAGTCGCAGGGATGTTAGGAAGTATTTCTTCAGTCAGGGAGTGGAATGACGTGGACACTGTAGTGGCAGAGGCAGGATCCATACATAGCCAGGAGAGAGTGAACCCGGTAGCACTTAGTGAAGAGAAAGGGCCAGGAGCTGAGACTCAACCCCTCCAATTACATACACGTGAGTACTACCATGCAAAAAGATCACAGAAGACGAATTCAACAAATAAGGATTACTTTTGTATCGATATTTATCAGCGAAAATACCCTAGTGTTGCGCACATCTATTTGTCCTTTTAATATGCCATTAATATAAGTTTTAAAGTAATTATATATATTATTATACAATATAACTTATAAAATGTTAGGTAAGACACACATGCAACAGTTAGACAACTTTATTCCGAAACGTTTCGCCTACACAGTAGGCTTCTTCAGTCGAATACAGAAAGTAGGCAGGAACAGTAGAGATGTGAAGACGATGTAATCAGTCCATCACCCTTAAAGTCGTAGAATTTGAGGTTGTCAGTCCCTCGGCCTGGAGAAGTTCAGTTCCATGGTCAGGAACTATCTGTTCCTGCCTACTTTCTGTATTCGACTGAAGAAGCCTACTGTGTAGGCGAAACGTTTCGGAATAAAGTTGTCTAACTGTTGCATATGTGTCTTACCTAACAACCTGTCGGTATTGTATACCATTTTGATGTTCATAACTTATAAAATATTTAAAATTCGAAAGCTTTTGTGATCTCTATCACTGAAAATGTAAAATATCGCGAAAGCGCTTAGAATTATAGTGTCATAAATAGAGTTTATATTTCACGCTCTCGCGACTATAAGCAGTTATTATTAATCTTTTTTAATTAGTTAGATTTTTTCTTCATGCGGAAAATTAATTAGACTCATGATGGGAACATAAATGTGTGTTAGTAGAGAGTGTGAGGGATAAGTTAGGTTAGGGAAAATTCGTCAGGAAACAGGACAAGTGTTTCCTGACGCGGGTTTTAGTTATGTGACCCTCCACTGGAGTTTTGGTTATCTGACTGAAGCCTTCCACTGGCTTACCACTCCACTTTAAAAATTAATATTACTAGTGTCGTGTGGATATGTTAGGGATGTAGATGTGATTATTCAAAAATAGTTATCGAAAATTTCTCAGCAGGCGAAACGTTGTCAGAGCCACGTTTCGAATTCTTGTGTCTTTATTATCATAGAGAAAATGGTTTTTAACTGTGAAGATGTTTCGCTCAGTGACTTTACGAAACGTCTTCGTAATAAAATGCTACTGTTTATACACAGACAAAAATAAAAACGAGGTAACCAACACATATATAATCTTCAGTAAGTTTACTGGAAATTCCTAATTAAGGTACCTAAATACCGAAAAAAAATATTGTTGGCTGAATGGTGTAGTGGACAGGTAATTAGCAATTGATTAGCAGGTAATTAATGAGCTGTTAGGCTCAGATATCAACCGTCTTAGGAAGCGACAGATTAATTACAATAATTATGAGAGATATTGTGAAGAGGTAAGCTAGGTAAACTGATAGACTTTATGACAGTTGTCAGACGTGACAAATGGAAACTAGAGAGGATCGGACAAGTCAGAGGAGGACACTTACGGTGGATGGAAGGGCAAAGGGAGAGGAATAATGTAAAAAGTCGAATAAACTATAGAGGGGAAGGAAAGCTTTTCTGTGATTTAATTGCTAAGACGACACGATTTACTAAATTTTTAAGTTAGAAAAGACAAAAAAACGCTGTTTCCATCACGCTTAAACTTTACAAAATATTGGATTTATAATAATAATAATAATAATAATAATAATAATAATAATAATAATAATAATAATAATAATAATCTTTATTTCTACATGTACAAGGTATACAGGTTGGTAGATAAGACACATAACAACATTTAGGCAACTTTATTTCGAAACGTTTCGCCTACACAGTAGGCTTCTTCAGTCGAGTACAGAAATTAGGCAGGAGAAGTAGAGATGTGAAGACGATGTAATCAGTCCATCACCTTTGAAGTCGTAGATTTGAGGTTGTCAGTCCCTCAGCCTGGAGAATTCTGTTACAAAGTCTAACTGTTAGTTCCAGACTTTGTAACAGAATTCTCCAGGCTGAGGGACTGACAACCTCAAATCTACGACTTCAAGGGTGATGGACTGATTACATCGTCTTCACATCTCTACTTCTCCTGCCTAATTTCTGTACTCGACTGAAGAAGCCTACTGTGTAGGCGAAACGTTTCGAAATAAAGTTGCCTAAATGTTGCTTATGTGTCTTACCTACCAACCTGTCGGTATTGTATACCATTTGATAATCAAGGTATACAGGCCTAGCTGACATCAATGACATACTACTGTACAGAAACCCCCTTAGAAACCTCCTTAGAAACCCCCTTAGAAACCTCCTTAGAAACCCCCTTAGAAACCCCCTTAGAAACCTCCTTAGAAACCCCCTTAGAAACCTCCTTAGAAACCCCCTTAGAAACCTCCTTAGAAACCCCTTTAGAAACCTCCTTAGAAACCCCCTTAGAAACCTCCTTAGAAACCCCCTTGTTTTGCTAAGCATTTCTGGCAAATTAGGTCAATATTATGCCCAGGATGCAACCCACACCAGTCGATTAACACCCAGGTACCTATTTTCCTGATAGGTGAACATGGCCAGCAGGTGCCTTAAGGAAACACGTCGTAATGTTTTAATTTTTTGGGCAAAACGTTGTCTTCAAAAAAAGTTTATTCTGAAAATAATATCTTCGTCATATTAGTACTCAATTCTGCCCATTTCAAAAAAAAAATGTGAATCATTATTTTACTTAATATAAAATGTTTTACTAACACTGGAATTGTGAATAGAAGGACGGAGGGGGCGCTGGATATGTTGAAATATGCAAATGGAAAACTGGAATAAAGGGGATAAACAGAGTAATGGATATATCTAAACCACAACAGGACTCGAGGCAGCTGATGAATACTGATGGAATTTCTGATTTACAAAGAATAAACGAAATGTGGTTAAATAAGTACGTGAATGATACCTGGGTAAAGCCTTCTAAATAGGTAACGTCTTTCTCCATGAAGATACATAGGTGGTGCATGTGTCTTATACATTTCTTGGCATAAATTTAAACTATAGACAACACGACAGATACATAAGAAACATGACTAACACTTAGGTACTTTTAAGGACGAAACGTTTGGCCTGCGTAGCAGGCTTCATCGGTCGAATCCATAGAAGTTGCAATGAATCTCCACGACTATGGTGCTCTTCGCACCTATTCCTAGGTTGAGGGACTGATTACCTCATCTTCTGTACATAGTTCTACTGTTTTCAAGTTATGTCCTAGAATTTGTATTGATAAAGCCACTGGATGGCGAAACGTCTACAATAAAGATACCCAGATGTTGCACATGTGTCTTAATCTCATCGAATCCATAGAAGATTGCATATCTGGAGATAGTTCAAGTGGAGAGAAAATTAAGGTAATGAGTCCCTCAGCCTGTTGCTGAGACATGAGGTCAGAGATGTAATTTATGTCTCTGGTCTCCTACTATAACCTATGTCCTGAGATCTAGGTCATATTACGCCACCAGTCATTTGAAAATAATTATGATTTATTAATATTATTTCATCATTATTTATTATTATTATTATTATTATTATTATTATTATTATTATTATTATTATTATTATTATACAAATTGTAAATAAACTCTGATTAGAAGTGACGTTTTCTCATCTGTTTGATAATATCTCCTTAGGCTTTCTACCTCTGGAGTTATCAGTGTCCAGAAGCGACTACACTGTGTGTCAGACAGTATGGTATAAACCTTGGTTTATACCATAAAAATTAACAGGGTTTATACCATACTTTCTGACACTCCAACACACTATGGACATTACATTGTTTCTTTGTTCCACCTCTTGTAATTGTTATACTGTTCTTTCATATACATTGGGAATTTAGGTTCATGTATTGGTTTGGAAATAGGGTAGTTGATGAGTGGAACAGTCTACCTAGTAGGGTGATTGAAGCTAAAACGTTGGGTAGTTTCAAGTTGAGGGTTGAGGGTGAGAGGGGTT